GGCCTTCTCCGCGTGCCTTCAGTGGGACAATGCCGGCTGGCGACACCTAGGAGTAGAGCCTTCTCTGTTGCAACTCTGGCCCTATGGAATGAGCTGTCACCAGAGATCCGGGCCCTGCCCTCTGTCATGGCCTTTCGCAAAGCCATTAAAACCTGGCTTTCCGGCAGGCTTGGGGCTGTTGACCCCTTGATTGAGGTCTAGCCCCTTCTGATTGGGTGTCTGTTGTGTTCCTTTTTAACCTTGTTGTGTCCCATTGTTTTTAATAATTCTTTGTATTTATTTTTTCATTTCTGTAAGCTGCCCGGAGTCCTCTGGGATTGGGTGGCATAGAAATTCAATAAATGAAATGAAATGAAATGAAAAACGAAAAGAAAACTAAGCCTACCAATCTTGTCTGTGGATTATTTGGGAATTAAGGATTTTACACATTTTGAATTTAGTGTTTTTTATCAGAAACCAAATTCACATTACCCCTATTCCAGTTAGACAGCTATCTTCTAATGCAGCCTTGGTTGATATATTAGGGAACATTATTCAACAAATATATTATTTTTTTATCACATTTAGAAATGGTCCATCCCCCTCACAGAGAGTCTATGAAGGTTCTGCCCCTGCTGTGGCGTATGGAAACATCTGGAAAACATCAGGACAGGGAAATCTGTTTGGGCAGTTTGGAAACAGACCTCAACAATAAGAAACATGATTTGGGGGTGTTCCATGCTACAAACCATGTTCTGATCGTTCTAGAATCTGATGCCTTTTGACAAAACAGGGTTTTCCGATTGCCACTTTCACCACAGAGAGAGCTTCACTGACCTCCATTGAGAAGCTGGTATTGCACACTGTATCCTTGTACTTCTTTATCACAGTGAGGTTCCTGCCAGCTGACTTTCAGTGAGGTTGGCCCCAGGGCAGAGAACACCAAGCGAGTTGGAGTATCCGGAACATTCAGAAGCTGCATTCTAGAATCTGAGGCAGATAGAAAATAGTAAGATTAGATCTGAAAGCAAGGAAAGGACAAAATGCAACCTTCCACATCAGCATGAGACTTCCTTTTGTGTCAAAGAACAAGCAAAGAGTAAGCTGAGATGTTGAGAATGTAGCCAGAAGAATTGAGGGGAACAGCATAGCTGAAGAATCATTGGACAATGAATGAAAAGAGCATCAGGGCTGCATTGTATGGTAACATGCATCAGGAAAAGAAGAGGAGTGTTGGTTTTATCAGGGAAACAATTCTTTTTCTTGTCCCCAGGTCCTAAATCCTCAGGGCAAGGCAAGGTTCCAGGTGGAGGTTAGATTAAACTCACCCACGTGACAAACTAGGGCCTAGCTGATCAGAACTTCATAGACATCTTCAGAGTCAGCCTTTTGTGGCTGAGGAGGACAAAATGCACCCTAGACTGTTCATTTTGCAGAACGTTTAGTACTCTCTAAGCTTGATTGTTTGCTTGCAGATGTTTCATTATCCAACTAGATAACAATAATGTGAGTGAGTGTAGGTTTTGCTATCTTTTAATAAATAGTAGCTTGCCCTGACAGTTTGGGTTGGGGTGTAATTTCCTTATAGCAATAGCAATAGCGATATATAGACTTATATACCGCTTCATAGGGCTTTCAGCCCTCTCTAAGCGGTTTACAGAGGCAGCATATTGCCCCCACAGTCTGGGTCCTCATTT